GGCCCTGCTCGCTCCCTCGCTCGTCCCCGGCTTCCGAGCACAGCATGGCGGTCAAGGTGACTCCAACTCTACTGCTGCCTTTATTGCATAAGAGACATTCTGGGGACCCTGCCTGCAGCCTTTACATCTTTCCATTTCCTTCTTTGCCTGGTTCTTAGATAGTGTGTCCTGGGCCTCCAGCCTGCGGGTGGTAGAGCTGTGCGTGGCTTGGACTGGAGGGAGAGGATGCGTGGTTGGGGGAGGGGAAGGAGGAGGGATTGTGAGTTGGAGGGGCTTGTGAGGACCACGGGACGGTGAAGGAAGAGTAGTGTCCTGCTCTAAGTGCATGGGTTTGTGAATCCGGAGTTGGAGGCCGTCGGAAAGGGAATGGGAGGAAGTGGCATGTAAAGTCGGGGTACCTAAGGCATCTGTGCATTGCGGTGGGGGAGGGCATAATTGAGTAATTTGGGGCTTCACTGTGGCTGGAAGCATTGGTTGGCATTTGCGCTGCAGGTGGCAGGATGTCGAAAGTGTTTGGAAACGTAGCAGCTTTCATATTTTAAGAGTGGAGAGAGAGAGGGGCCCGGAGATAATTATATTCTGGATTGCTTTCCTTGGGTAAGAAAAGCTGCTAGGCCATGCTATTAATTTGGATGTTTCAACTTTCCTGTTGATCTACACTTGCCTCTTGATTTGAAGGTGGGTGGTTGCTAACTGTGTTGCTAGTGGTTGTGGAGTAAATAGATTGATTCTCACTGCTTTCCCTTTCCAATCCAGATGAAATCTATCTGGTAGATTTTCTTTATTTTAGGCTCTTCACACTTGACTTTCCACACTGTAGTGACAGGTCTCCAATTGACAGTTCTTATCAGTATTAGTTCTTTTGGTTTGTTTTAAAATTAAATGCCCTTATAAAAGATAAGAGCATTGATTGTTAGCGTGTTAACTCTAATCTGAAGAGATTATGTGGCTTCTAGTGAAGCATTAACTGGCTTTTTTTTTTTTTTTCCCTTTACAGGTGCAGACAACCAAGCGAGGTGATGCTCATGAGTTAAGAAACATATTCCTCCAGGTAAACTGGCTTATGTATTGTGCTTTTTCACTGGAGGGAAAAGGTGTAAGTCTTGTACTTTTCAGGCTTTAACTTTTAGGAATGGTCTATTTTCATATATTCTTAAGAACATGGCTAGATAATATAGCTTATAATTCTTATTTTGTTAAGGTCTGGATAAAAGTGTTTGTTTTTATTAAAGTTTGATAAAAGATTTTCCTCAAATTGTGTTGTTTTTTTTTTTTTTAACATGACTTAAGACATGTAAAAGAAGACTAAAAAGAAGAGTTTCCAGCTTCCCTTAAGGACTGACCAAAATAAAATTTCAGAATGTATTGACATTAAGATTCTTTCTTTCTTGAAAGTTGCATGTTTTTAAAGTTTGCCTACTTATAAGCAATTCTCTGTGTAATGTAGATAAAAATATTATAGCTAGTCAATTTGTGTATTTTCTCCCTTTACTTTAAAAATATTATATCTGTACACCTTTGGGGTTTTATTACAAAATGTTACTGTCTGAGATTCTTGCCAGGATCCATTTTGTCTTGAGATAAGTTTTAAGATCAGCGACTTGGCTATAAACTTAAAAAAAAAGTTGGCTTAGTTTTTTGTTTTGCTTTCTTAAATTCCAAAGTTCCCTGTGCAGGAAGTTGTATTAAGAAGTAGATGTAAAGGGAGATAAACTAAGGTGTTCCACTAAATATTGTGCTTTTCTCTGAAATTTTCTTTTGAGAACTTTCTATTCAGGACCTGGGTTCTTGTACAGAAAATTTGACCTTGGGCAGGTCCCTGTTGGGTATTAGTTTTCTCTGTAAAATGAGAGGTGATCGTCAAGGTTCCTTCCAACTCCAAAAGTTTATGATTCTATATTAGGAACAGATTCTAACATATGCTGATGAGCCTGGAATAGATGACATTTTTATCTGAGATGTGGATTACTTAACCTGTTTTTGGGGATGAGGCTGCATAGATGACTTTAGGGGAAGCATAATTTCCAGAATAAATGTAATTGTAATAGGAATGCTCTAGGTATGCTTTGAAACCCTTATTCCTTACACAAGTTCTTGAAAATAGCCAAAAATATATTAGTATTCATACCATATGGTTATATTCAATTGTTTTTTGAGGAGTTCATGTGATATAGTTAATTTTGTTTTTCAGATTAAGTAGGCATGAAAGAAGTCAGTTGAAATGATGCGTGATGTAGTGAAAAGAGTATTGACCTAAGTGTTAGGAACACTGGGTTCAATTCCCAGTCCTGACTATCTGATTGTTGTATCTGTAGGCTAATTATCTGGCTTTCCTGGGCTTTTCATGAGGGACTCAGTGTGACTTAAGGGAATGGGTGTTGTGGGAATGTGTTAGACTGTTGGGGTCAGACCGGACCTGGGTTCAGCAACCTCAGTACTTGAGTTCTGGCAAGAAAAGAATTCAGAGCCCAAGACTTAAACTATAAGAGAACATTTATTTGGAAAGTCAGAGGTAGAAGTAATTTGTAGAAGAAATGGGCTTAGGAAGCAAGTTATAGAGGTAAAGGAAGGGCCCTTGGAGCTTGGGAGTTAGGAAGCTAATGATAATGTGTTTGGGGAAATGGGGAGGGGGAAGGGAAAAGTGCCCCTGGAAGGGAGAGCACCTGGGTCCTCTGTCCTAAGGGTTTTAAGGCTGGAGATTTTAGGGGAGGTCCCAAGGGAAGATTTCAATAGAATATTCAGCAGCCTTCCAGGTGTGCCCTTTCAGGGTCAGGGTTTCCACTGATTGATTGTTTGACACCAGGGAAAGGGGTCATTATTCAATGCAGCTGGTCCTGAGGTCAGCCATGGCATTGCTGGTCTGGTTTTCCTGCTTTTTGGGCCTGGAGCTGAAATACAACTGAGGCCTACATGTTATCTCTAGGGAGGAAAGGCCAGGGGGTCCAAACCGAATGGCCCAGGATATGGTAGGAGAGGAAAGGTCACCTTGGGGATGAGGTCCCACCCTACAATTGTCATTTGCTAGGCACCCTTGGGCTTTCTGCCCTGGTGACCTTCTGTACCTGGCCCATTATCCTTACTCTACTCATATCCGTCTAATTGCCTACCATATTGAAACTGAGGTCTTCCCAGTTTTAAAAATCCCATGGGAAAAAAAAATCTGTTGTTCTATATGGATGTCTTTTGGGGGAGGAGAGATGGAAGTACAAGGAGAGAGTTAGGGATATGCCTAGCTTTTAGACAACTTTTAAATCTTCTATTTTTACACATTATTTTGATGGTGCTCTTATTATTTTTATTTTGAAAATTTGTGGAATTCATAACTTCACATTTAGCACTAACTTTTAAGCATTGACCCAAGAATTACTAATAGATAAGAGAGAACATAGGTACATACCTTCATGAAGGCTTAAAGCAGCTAGAAAGATACAATATAGTTAGCTGAATCAATCTGAGGACAGTTAACATACTAGATTTTTTTTTTGATTTTTTTTAAAAAAAATATCTTTATTGATTTCAGAGAGAGGAAAGGAGAGGGAGAGAGATGGAAACATCAATGATGAGAGTCATTGATCGGC